TCACCCCCTAACCACTCCCCTGCTGGCCTGATCACCCCCTAACCGCTCCCCTGCCGGCCTGATCACCCCCTAACCACTCCCCTGCTGGCCTGATTGACACCTAACTGCCCTCCCCTGCCAACCATCTTGTGACAATGTGGGGACGGCCATCTGGCTCACCGCAGGGGCCCAGGAAATGCCAAGCTGAGGTTCGCAGCTGTTGGGTTTGGCCTGGGTCCCGGGCCCCAGGCTCTGGCACCGTAGCTCCTTCCACCTCGAGGCAGGGGTTCTGGTCCTTGGTTCCTGGTCACCACGGACACCTGCTCAGTGCCTCGCATCCTCTCCCCCCAGAACGGCCTGCAGAGCGGCCGGCGGTTCCTGCGAGAGGCCAGAGGAGGAAGGAATGGACGCTGGGCTCCTGGACGCGGGGTTCCAGGTGAGTGCCCCGCCGCCCTCACGCTCGGGCCTCCAACCGGAGGGACCCCCTCCCCTGACCACCCGGCTCGGCCTTGTCCGGCTTCCCCGGTGAGGAAGGTCCCGTGTGACGTTCCAGGAGCCGGTGGCCTTTGAGGACGTGGCCGTGGACTTCACGCGGGAGGAGTGGGGGCGGCTGACGCCCGCCCAGAGGGCCCTGCACCGCGAGGTGATGCTGGAGACCTGGGGGCTCCTGGTCGCTGTGGGTAAGGCCACCCCCTGTTCCTCCCCGTCCGCCCCTGGGTGGACCCCACTTCTCCTGGGTTCACAGTCGGGGTGGGTCTTGGCATGAAGAGCAGAAAACCCATGTGCCTTGGGCCTGAGGGACCAGACAGCCTGGGTTTCGGGAATATCCGTGAGGATGCCAGAGGCAGGAATCGCGGGGTAAGAGGACCCGTGACTGCAGAATCCTAGTGCAGACCTGGGTCTTCCTGTGTTGCTGCCAGCAGCCCCCTCCCTCTGCACCCGTCACCTTCATAGATGGGCTCTCTGAAGGGGGAAGCGTTACCAGCGTCCACGGGGTCCGGGGAAGGCTTTGGGTTGTCTTGTTTCGGCCACCACGTCCCCTGCACATTGGTCATTGTTGCCAGTGGACAGCGGAAGAATTCCCACTGGGTGGCCAGACCGGCGACACATGTCCACCCGGGAGGCAGAGGTGGGGTGAGGGACCGAGGGGGAGTGGAGGAACTGGAGGCTGCTATGACCTAAGTTCCTGGGGCCTCTCTGGGTTCCCAACCACTTCGATCCTGGAAGAGTGAAGGTGGAGCGGGCAGAGGGCTGGGAGGCGCCCAGGGACACAGATGCTCACGCCCTGGGCCTCCCTGAGCAGGAGCCAGGACCCCGAAACGCCCCGTCCCGGTCCTGATGGGCCAGGAGGCAGAGCCGTGGCCGGTGCATGAGGAGGTTCCCCAAGGCGTGCGCCCAGGTGAGACGATCAGCGCCTGAATTCCTGGAGGACGTGGTTGGGAGACGCTGACCTGTCTCGCAGCGTTAGGCCGGTTCGGTGTGGGGTGGAGGCTGGGTGCCTGGGCTGAAAGGCGTCCTGCCAGCAGGGAGCGGGGGCTGCGTGTGCTTCTCACTCAGCAGGTGTATGGACCCCTGTGGTTGGCGGGTGCCGCGGGGAGGCCGTCGGGCTCCTGTGGTCCTGGTTAGACAGACAGGCGCTCACACACAGTCATCCATCCGTTCCCTGGGCGACGGGTGTTTCAGCGGCTTCCAACTTCTGGAGCTGCTGCATTTCTTTTTTCTTTTCTTTTTTAAAATATATTTTATTGATTTTTTTACAAAGAGGAAGGGAGAGGGATAGAGAGTTAGAAACATCGATGAGAGAGAAACATCAATCAGCTGCCTCCTGCACACCCCTACTGGGGGTCGAACCCACAACTGGGCATGTGCCCTGACCGGGAATCACGCCGTGACCTCCTGGTTCATGGGCCAGTGCTCAACCACTGAGCCACACTGGCCTAGCTTATGCCTTTCTTTACATCTTGGGGGGGGTGGGAGGAGGTGGTGCCACAGCGAGGGGCCTCCAAGAAGAGGCTAGCTCTGTCCGCGGGAGGGCTGCGTGTTCCTTCCCAGCGGCAGCTTTTTTGCCGCCGCCACCTGGCCTGGTGGCTCCTGTCGGCCTGTGCCCGACCACTGTTCTCCTTCCAGGACTGGGCGTCTGTGGACATGTCCCCTGGAGGGTCACTCGCTCCTCAGCATCTTCTCTGCCCCAATTCCCTGCGCCCCCCTGGCACCTCCATCTGTGCCTTTTGTACCAACTCCCCTCCCTCTTCTGTTCCTTCTCTGGTTGGGAAACCATACGGTTAAATGGTTTCATCCACTGGAGTCTCGAACCTTTTGAAACTGTCGGTTTAATTCTTCCATCCACAGAGTCACTGATGAACTTCTCCTCCCAGAACAGGGGTTGAGGGACAATTGCATGTTTTGTTTGTTTGTTTTCAGACTTGGACGCTGGGTTGACAACGGAACTGTCAGCTGCAAAGCAAGACGCCTCTGAGGAACTATCCCGCCTTGCCCTGGTAGAAGGGTTCCCGGGGGACGGTCTGGGGAGGGATCAGGGTGAAGACGAAGATGCCGGGGGGCTCCGGGAACACAGCCGTGAGAGCCTGGATGGCCGTGGGGTGCGGGCGGCCTGCACACCTGTGAGGACATCTGTTCAGCGGCACCAGCCCGGGGATGGGTTTGGGGAAAACGTAACTCTGAGCCCTGAGCTCCCAAGTCAAGCTGTGACTCCTGGAAGACCAGACTCTCACAGGTGTGGGTCCCAGGGAAAACGTGAGAACCCGGAGTTAAAGGTGCAACAGAAAAGCGATGCAGCAGAGAGACCCTCTAGAGGTCAGAAACGTGGCAGGGCCTTTCGTCACAGCTCCACACTCACCCACCCCCGCCCCACGCAGGCCGGGGAGAGACCGCATGACAGCCACCAACGCGGAGAAGGCTTCCAGAGCGCTCCGCGTCCCAAACGCCAGGGCGTCCCTCCTGGCGAGCGGCCCTGTGAGCGCAGGCGGTGTGAAAGGACCTGCAACCACACGGCCCCACTGATCCAGCCTCAGAGAAGGCACACCGGCGAGAAGCCCTACGCACGCACCCAGCGTGGGAAGGCTTTCAGCCAGAGCCCACCCCTGAGTCAGCAGCGGAGGATCCACAGAGGGGAGAAGCCCTACAGGTGCAAGGAGTGTGGGAAAAGCTTCACCCTCAGCTCCTCACTCAGAAAGCACAAGTGGACACACACGGAAGAGAAGCCCTACGAGTGCAGTCAGTGTGGCAAGGCCTTCCGGCAGAGCACACACCTCCGTCAACATCAGAAGATCCACACCGGGGAGAAGCCCTATAAGTGTGACGGGTGTGGCAGGGCCTTCAGACACAGCTCATCCCTAACCAAACACCAGCTAATCCACACCGGGGAGAAGCCCTATAAGTGTGACGGGTGTGGCAGGGCCTTCAGACACAGCTCATCCCTAACCAAACACCAGCTAATCCACACCGGGGAGAAGCCCTATGAGTGTAATACATGTGGCAGAGCCTTTAGCCAGCTCGCTCCACTCATTCAGCATCAGAGGATCCACACGGGGGGGAAGCCCTATGAGTGTGACGGGTGTGGCAGGGCCTTCACCCACAACTCATCCCTAACCAAACACCAGCTAATCCACACCGGGGAGAAGCCCTATGAGTGCAGTGACTGTGGCAGGGCCTTCACCCACAGCTCATCCCTAAACCAGCACCAGCTAATCCACACTGGAGAGAAGCCCTATGAGTGTGACGGGTGTGGCAGGGCCTTCAGACACAGCTCATCCCTAACCAAACACCAGCTAATCCACACCGGGGAGAAGCCCTATGAGTGTGACGGGTGTGGCAGGGCCTTCAGACACAGCTCATCCCTAACCCAGCACCAGCGAATCCACACTGGGGAGAAGCCCTATGAGTGCAGTGACTGTGGCAGGGCCTTCACCCACAGCTCATCTCTAACCCAGCACCAGCTAATCCACACCGGGGAGAAGCCCTATGAGTGTAATGCATGTGGCAGAGCCTTTAGCCAGCTCGCTCCACTCATTCAGCATCAGAGGATCCACACGGGGGGGAAGCCCTATGAGTGTCATGAGTGTGGCAGAGCCTTCAGTCAGAGCTCCCTCCTCACAGAACACCAGAGGACCCACACCAAAGAAAAACCCTACACGTGCAACGAGTGTGGGAAGTCCTTCAGTCGCAGCTCATCCCTCAGCCAGCACGCGAGGACACACACCGGGGAGAAGCCATATGAATGCCCAGATTGTGGGAAATCCTTCAGGCAGAGCTCCCACCTCACTCGGCACCGGAGAATCCACACGGGAGAAAAGCCATACGAGTGCAAGGACTGTGGGAAGTCCTACACAGACAGCTCCTCCCTGACCAGGCACCAGAGAACTCATACTGGGTCGAGGCACCTACAGGAACTGGGCCATAGGAAGCCTTAAGCCATTGTTCATCCCTTCCTGGACTTGAGCCCGTTTCGTCTCAGGAGCAATGGGACATACACAGGCCTTCACACACGGGTCACTCCTCAGGTCATCCTAACAGCAGGGAAATGTGGAGGTGACCGATGCGGAGGACCTGCGGCCATGAGTACCCACTAACATTACAGAAGAGAGAAGTGGGAAAATGTCGTGAGTTTGGACGTGACTTAGGTCCACACGTTCACAAGGTTCCAACTGGTGAAAACCCAACAAGTGCCTTTCATACGTAAGAACCAAGGGCAGTGAGACCTGGTCACTAATTCACATTCTATTCCTTGGGTTGGGGAGTGTTTATGAGTGGTGTCAACTGACGGATATAAACACACGCAAGTGCGTACTCGGCTGTCTCACCACAACGTTTTCTGGTCTGTGTATAAATCACTTACCTGGTCCAAGAACACAGCTGATGTTTGAGTCTCCCCTGAAATGTTTGTCCCAAGTGGGAACCACCAGGCTCTGACTGCTAGTGATGACGTTACCAATTCTCCTTGACTTCCCTAATTGCATCTGTGCACCGTGTCTTGCCCCTTCAGAACAAACCTAGGGTGCTTTGCCCCACCTTTACAAGACAAAATGATACCAATATTTTAAAATAAAATCAGATTTTATCTCTCAAAAAAAAAGATACATGGCAACCAGTCTCACAGATTTGAATCCCATGTGAAGTATCAGTGCATTTTAAACAGAATTAAATTATCTGCATTATTTTGCAATAAATTAATCCTTTTCAGTAGGTTTGGAGTGATTCAAGAAAGCAATTCTGAAACTATATTTTTAAAATATATTTTATTGATTTCTTAGAGGAAGAGAGAGTGATAGAAAGCTAGAAAATGGATGAGAGAGAAACATCAATCAGCTGCCTCCTGCACAACCCCCACTGGGGATGTGGCTGCAACCAAGGGCTGCAACATGCCCTTGCCCGGAATCGAACCTGGGACCCTTCAGTCCGCAGCCCGACGCTCTATCCACTGAGCAAAAATGGTTAGGGCCTGAAACTATTTTAGAGGCACTTTAGCATCCAGCATTCTTTTAATTGTGTGGGTACCAGAGTTCTCATGATAGCAACATAAAAATATGGGGGCAGTGAAAATGTAGTTGTGAAATATGCAGTTATAAAAAAGTATAGACTGGCATTGCATTTGTTCGCACACACACATACCTTTATTTGTGTACTGATAGGTGCTCACAGATGTGCCTGTACTTCTAACTCAGCAGAAGACAAGGCTAGTAGCAAGGAGCACATAGATTTGGGCCCTAAGACCACCCCCTACTGAAGGGAACGAGTTATTTGAAACTGGAGAAATGGCTGATTTCAGAGCTGAAGCAAGTAGAGAGATAAGCTTGGATCATCCTATACTTAAACAAAAATTGACTGTTCCAAAAGTGGCGGAGGTATGACACTGGGTGCGGGATTCCTGTTAGACGCGTGAGCTCATGTGGCACAACTCGAGCACCGAAACCAGTAAGGACAGCAGTGAGTTACACACCATTGAGGAAACAGGAGCCCACGAGTGCGTCTGATGATAAATAACTGGGCAGGAAGGCGTGCCCACGGCTGAGCGTGAACACGGAGGGAGAGCTGGCACTGGGTCAGCGACACCCTGCAGCCTTCAGTGCTAAAGACTGGTTCGGGCAGGAAGGAGTGGAGGCTGGACCAGGGGTGTGTGTGTGTGAGCATGTTAACAGGTGGGTCTGGGTGAGGACATCTGTGTGAACTTTGTACTGTTTTCACTATTTCTGTGCCTTTTCTATCAGGTTTAAGCCATTTCCAAATAAAGTGAACAAGGCACAGGCATCCAGCTGTGCACGGACTGGGACACGGGGTGGGGAGCCCAGGACAGGGCCTGTGGGACGTCGTGGTGACAGGAGTCACCCGGGGGCCTGGGAGCTGAGTGGGGTGCATGCTGGGAGGGGTCTCCCTGAGGCAGAAGGGAACTCACGGGTCAGGCCAGGAACAAGAGCTGAAATAGTAAATTTAGTTGTTTTTTTAAATTACCAGGGCCACACCCAGCTTGGGGTTGGGGGATGGACAGGCTAAGAGGTTGGGGGGTGGGCAGGTGGGAAGTGGAGCAATTCAGAGGAAAGCCAAGTAGAAAAGGACCTAAAATTCAAACTATGAGGGGCTGGGGGTCTGTGGGGCCCTCCTACTATCCACGCAGAGGGGAGACCCGCGGAGGCGAGCGGGGAGGACAGGAAAGCCACGAAGCCTTTCCAAATCCGGGAGCTGCAGGTCTCAGGCGGGGCTGCGGGCTCCAAGGCCCAGGAAGGGCCGAGACACAGGCGGGCACCTGGCAAACTCATTGAAGGTCCCATCATATCCGCTCACAACGCACTCAAGCTCAATAGACCGTGAACACACTGGGTGCCCCAGCCAAAGCCCCACGAGGGAGTCAGGGTCGCACGGGCCAACAGTTTTGTAACAGAGCCCAGGGCCGAGGGTGGTGGGACCGGCTCCTGCGGACTGGGAGCTGCCCCATCAGCTGAGGGACGCTCACCTCGGAGCCTCTCACACGTGGGGGAACTAAGCTCTCTCGGGGGGGCGGCTGCCTGGGATCTAGGCCACAGGAGGTCACTTTCACGCCCCCTTCTCCTTTCCTCAAGGCCGGGGTGGGAGCCTGTGTCTGCCACAGGCCATTCGGATATTTATCACATCATTCGGCGGCCGTACAAAACCACCCACTTAAACGTTAGCCTGCTGCCTTTGGTCCAACGTTTAATTAACTCACCCCTCGCGCCTCGGCAGGGCCGGACCAAATGGTTTTGCGGGCCGGACGTTCCCCGCCCCGGCTCTGCGGCGTGCTCCCCTCACCTGGCTCCTCGGGGAGGCCCCCCGCCAGGAAGGCCGCCTTCTCCCGGCTCTCGGGAAGGGGCGCCGGCAGCCAGGGCCGAACGGGCCTTGCCGGCCAGGGCCGAACGGGCCTTGCCGGGCAGGAGGACTTTCAGGAACGAGTCCAGCTGCAGCGCCTGCTCCTTGGAACACGCCGCTGGGCCAGGGCCTCGGGGGTGAAGCTCCGGAGCAGGTGGGAGACGTCCAGGTCGGCAGGGGTCCTCCTGCAGCTGGTCCCGCCGTCCTCCGGGGGGTCCCCCGCTGCCATCCTGGCCCGGGCAGCGCGGGGGGAGCCGGGGAGGTCCTGGGGGGGCTGACGCCTTCTCCGAAGGCAACACCTTCCCATGTCTGCGTTGGGAAACGTGACCGTGCCAGCCGGGGGCAGGGCGGCGTCCTGCAGGGCAGGTTCACGTAACCATGGCTCCAAGGAAGAGACAAAACAAGCAACGGGATGCTGTGAGATCGCGGCCGGCCGGAGTCCAGACCTGCACGGGACAGACCAGGAGGAGCCCAGGTGGGGAGAAGCAGGCCATGGGGCACCCGCAGCAGAGAAAAGGGCAGGGGCATCTGAACTCACCAGCCCGCACCCTCCACACCCGGATCCGTGCAAGATTATTTCCAAGCAATTCCCTTGTGAAGGGTCGGTGGAGGGTTGTACTCGTGTAGATAAAAATGACCACAAAAAGTGGAGAGTGGCAACTCATTCTATAAGACTAGTACTACCAGGACTTAAAAAAAAAAAAAAAAAAAAGGCCCAGCCTGCGTGACTCAGTGGTTGAGCTTCGACCTATGAACCAGGAGGTCAGGGTTCAATTCCTGGTCAAGGGCACATGCCCGGGTTGCGAGCTCGATCCCCAGTGGGGGGCGTGCAGGAGGCAGCCGATCCATGATTCCCTCTCATCATCGATGTTTCTCTCTCTCTTCCTCCCCCTTCCTCTCTGAAATCAATAAAAATATATTTTTTTTAAAAAGAACCAAAGGACTTGTATACATGCATATAAGCCTAACCAATGGACACAGACACCAGGGGGGTGAGGGCATGCGTTGGGGGGGGGGGGGGTGACAATGGGGGGATAAGGACACATATGTCATACCCTAAATCCATCAAGAAAAAAACAATTTTTAAAAAA